TATTATTATTATTACTACTACTATCTACTTAGTGTCTACTGATACTTTGTCCAGCACACTATTGTAATTTCTTCTATTCAGGTGAGGAAAACACTGATATATATTAAGGCCCTCTTTGAAGAGCTTCCAGCAAAACAGACTTGACATTCTTGGTAAGCTTGAAGTTGAAAGAAAACAAAAGATTATACCAGAAGCAAATTCTCCCCTCCATTCCCTTCTTTCCACCTGCTACCTTCTCACCTTACTCTCTGAAACAAAAGCAAATCCAAATTTCTGGATTTTTTTATAGATTTTATAGTACCAAAATATTTAGCTGGATATTTTTGAATAAAGCTTACCTGAAGCTACTGGTATGTTACAGCCAGCAGCCTTTAGGGAATTAACAGCATCGGAGACTCTCATGGGATATACACAAACTGCCCCGACAGTAATACCTGCAAAAGCCACAGTTCATTTTTTCACATATGGACTTCCACCTCCCCGAGTGCAATCCACATTATAAGTACGAGAGCATTGCTCTCACGCCCCACTGCTCCACTCTCACAGTATCTTAAGCACCTAGACGCGGGATGTCTGTTCTATTGCTCAAACGGTTCATGTAATTCTCCATATTGCTACCTCTCTCATGTTCCTTCACCTGACCCTGGGAGCACGTTTGCATTAGCAGGAGGTTAAAGCACCAAGATTTTTATTGACAGGTTCCCTGTTTGATGCCAACATGTACAGCTAAGACACGCTTAATCAGCAAATTACTGTGAGAGAAACAGCACTGCCAAGATCTGTCCTTACTTGTTCAGCCAGACTAGGCCCAGCAGCAACCAAGCAGTCTTTATGTTAATGCAGTCCTACTGCATTTCCAGTTAAAATGCTACTCTCTCGAAGTCTCAGATAATTGACCTCATATTTAATACTTCAACTGTCTGACGAGTCCCTAAATCCAAGTTCTAAAATAATCCTAATCTCTAATATTTTATGTGTATGGGTTAAATGCAGATGTCTGATTCCCCTTTGGTTCTGTATCGTATGACTTCAATCCGTGGAACAATGCCATGTTATAACTGAAATATTTCAATAGTAAAAGCATGCCTCAAATGTGGCTGGGATTTTTTTTTGCTAGATGATCGTAAGGCCTACGTGACTGGACAAAAGTCAAATGGTACTCACGGACACATCAGAGATTACATCTGGAAAAATTCAGAAATGCTGCCCAGATATAAAGAGGTTTTACTGATGGTTACACTGACAGTCTCACGTTGCTCTGAAGTGTTATGGTGCTCAATCTTGGGTGTAACATTGGGGCTTCAGATGGAGCCTGCTTGAGTAATGTCAACGAAAGCTTTACCACTAGCTCCTAAGGGCTGTCTTCCACCCCTGCAACTCTGTTGACTTAGGTGGGAACTCTGCGTGTGTGCATGAGATACACACACAGCCGCACACACTCACTGCAGAACTGTTTCCTTACAGTAGACAGGGCTGCAAAGGTGTCTCCTATCTTACCTAACTGAAAGAAGCAGGTAACAGATAAATGTTTTCTGAAGGAAAAATAACATGTGGAATGCATAGGTCTGGAATGCATCTTTTCTGACAGGTAAAGTGGCAGGCTCGGTCGTTACATAAACAGCAGCTAAGCATGAAATCCAAAGGAGTCACATGAACCCTCCCCACTTCTCCAATTTCCTAAGGACATCAGCAGATTAACAGCAGACTCAATTAGTTTCACTTTAGTGCACTGTTATTAAAAGACATACATTGATGTTACACACTTGTGGCTTCCACATCAAATCTGCTCATTAGGTATCGTAGCTCAGAGTGCGGCCCTGAGTCCATGCTTCACTTTGGCTGCCAAACTGGGAATGGAGAATACTTCCTCCTTGTATTCTTACATTATCTCAAAGGAATAGATATTTCACTGATAGAACTTAAGACGGTTGCTTTGAATAAGACCATATAGGACCTAGTTTGTTCTCTCAGGACTGCTACTTCTGCAGCACTGCCTCCCGTAACTGCATTATAGGAAGAGGCCATTTTTACACCTTAATGAAAACTGAAAAAAAAATTCACGAAATGTAGACATTTTCTCTACAAAATGCACACAACAAAAACTATCATACCTTTATCAAGCATGTCCAAGGCTTTCAGAAGATCCTCTCTGATGGGATGCTTTGCTTTAAAGCACAGTCTGTGAACATTTGAAGGAGTATCATCTCCTGCAAGAGTGGTGAGGTCGATGCAGGTGACGGCTTTCAGCAGCCAAGCAGCCTACAAAGGGAGTGAAGCAAGGAATGTAGTATTTCCGTTTATACTTCCACAGTCAAACTGACTTAGAAGATGCAGGAATCAGAAGCCTGGCTCTCACTCTAAGAATGAGCAAATGTATGAGATGTAACGTGGAGAATATGCGAAGAATGGTTTATGACAGACAGGGGTGGCAGATGTTCATGTCGAGCAATAGCTAACGGTACAAAAAGGATTTGGAATCAAAAGTCCGCTCTCTCAGAATCAAAGGATCAAATTCTAAATTTTTTTTGTGTGAACCAGAAATAAAACACATCTGTAATTATTTGGTGCAAAAAACAAAAGCAAGAGCTCAGCGACAAGGCAAAAGCATGATACAGATGAAAATGTTAAGAATTTTAAAAGACTTATTAATTGGAGAATGGAACAGAAGCACAACTAAAAATTTCTTGAGCTTTCTTGCTCAACGAAAATTGAGCTTAAGACATTATTTTGAAATATTTGCTGAAGATCTTCCAGCGAATTCTCATTTACAGTTACAGCCTCACAAAAAGCTGACATCTCTTAGTGGACACTTGTTCAACAAGGGGAGAGTTTGCAATGGCAAAGTCCGTTTGAGTCCATAATGCCCCTCTCTGACTGCTCTGCTCTGCGACACCATTTGTCAGTATAGGCAGCAAAACTTCCTGTTTCCACATGGAGGTATTCCTCTGCAAACTTCAAGTGCCTGGCCAGTCTACAAACCTTTCACACTTCACTGATGGGAGTCTCCTTCCTCAACCTGCAGTAAATGTTACGCAGGCAGCTGCTTTGGGGTGGCCTAAAGGCCTGATGAACCGTCTCTGGCCTCTGTTAGTCTAAGCTTGACTGCTTGTTTCTGATTTCTACTTTCACCCTGTAATACTTCAGAAGAGGATTTCACTTTAAATGATTTTAAGTTTCTTTTACTTGGATTTTTTTATCCCTCATTTGAAGGAATTTTTGTCTCATGTCGTATGACATGAATCATAAAGTCATCAAGACAGATGTAGTCAGGGAGTTCCAAGAACTGGTATGAACATTTTTTTAAAAGGGTTTTTCAAATGTGTATTTTGGGAAATGGGCTTCAAAATTTGAATCTGTGGTGCTACTTACATTCAAACATGTAAAGGTTTAGAATCATCTCTGGGAAATAAATAGCACATGGCTGTTGTGTAATGAGGGATGCTTCTGGTATTCTTCAAAGTAAAACCTTACTCAAGTAGCTCAGTACCAGTGTCACTAAATCCCTTTCTTCCCAATGATTCTTTGTAATCAAAGCTTATGGCTCTCTATGGCTTTGTTCTTCATCTAGTAACTTCGGCCAAATCAGAAGACTTCCTTTTTATATTACTTGCACCTGCAGTACCTGAAGAAAGCCAAGGTTATGGAATATCCTCTGGATTTTCTCACTCATGCTATTTTCCAAGCCAGAGCCACTGGACTGCTAAACCTGGTGACTTTTTATGCATAAGAAATTCTTGAGAAATGCTGAGCTGGTACCTAACCATTCACTTTACATCTATTCTTTATTTAATCATAACATTCACAGCACAAACTTTCAGGTTCACGTAACTGGCAGGAAGATTTTTTTTCTGTCACCTTCCAGTAGGATCTTACAGCTACATCAAATTATCCCCAAACTGTCACCTGCAAGATCTGTGCTCACTGTGACTGCAGCTTCAGTCACCCCAGAAAGGCTGCCCGACGTGCTAAGCTCAGGATGCCAAGTAGTTTGAACAGCTTTTTTAAGCATAATATAATCAAATGATTCCCACTTTGTTCTATTCCTTGCACCGGTAAGATTAATCCTTCACTGTCTCATTTTTTCTGCTTCCAGGTTTTCAGTTACTGTTGCAAGTGAACAACTTGTTTAGTGTGCAGAGGGGAGGAATCACAGGCATTTGTTTGCAGAACGGCTGTTTGGCAAATGAAGACTCAATTTGTCCTCTGGACACCGGTTACAACCCCATGGCTGAGAGCTTACCGGCAGCTCCAAGTCTGCTGCATGGCATTTCTCAGCCTTTTCCCTTGGCTGAGAGCTGCCAAAGCACTCGCGGCATCCTGCAGCCAGCCCTGCTGGCAGCTCCTCGCTCAGCGCTTCCCGTCGCCATGCTGCCTCTGCTCTGGAGAGGACTGGAGCAACTGGAGAAACCAAAATGCACACCAGGCCAGCATCTGTCCATTCTGCCAGAAGGGCAGTAACAGCAGAAGTTGAGGGTAACTGCTAAGACACTCTAAACCTGCGTGTCAGTGCATACAGGTCAGCCCTGAATAAAAGTTCATTTGCACCACTGGCTTTCGGGTTGGCTTACATGAACCTGTTTTATACCAAAATGGACAATAACCAATCACTCACCTTATTTCAGGAGCTGAGAAGTCAGTTCCCTTAACATTAGTGGGCTTTTGTTTGGTTTTTTTCCCCTTCCTCCCCCCGGCTGCCATAGCCCATCAGGATTTTTGAATTTTCGCTAAGAACTCGCTAAGCAAAGAAATCACACATATTGGGGATGTTTAAGTAAGGAAAAATCATCCAGGTAGGTCAAACTTGACAGGGACCATGATCATATCTTACAGCTTTAAAATTAAAAAATAAGAAGGCAGCATGCAGAGAACTCTGTCTGGGAAACAGAATAAATGTGGTGGGATAGTAATACACAATTTCATCCACTCATGAATAAAGATGACTTAAATTCATTTGCGGTTTTGCCACTCATGAGTTATAAGGTTTTTAACTTGTTTGGATAAATGCGTCACCTTATTCCATCCCATCATCATCAAATACAAATTATTAAAATAAGACATGGACAAGCACATCATTTAAGTTTACATGTATCTTGAAAAAAATTCAATATTGCAGCCGGGAGAGGGAGAGTGACTGCTTTAAAAATACCAGAACAGAATGCATAAAAAGAGCACTTACTTGCCAATTACCTTTCACAGTTCTCCATTTTTTAATTTGTTCTGCATGCCTCACAACTTCAGGTTGATTCACATGCACTTTAGAGATCCAGCCGAGTTCTGGGGTGGGAAAAGAAAAAAAAACACCAAACCAGTCTTATCTATTTCTGTGCTCTTTTAATATATGGTGTAGGACTTCAGGAGAAAGTTGTCGCTTGGTTTGGAACCTCGGAGAGCATGTTGTGCTTTCATGTCCTCTTAAGGGCTTGCGTACTTGTCACCAGTCCGAAATACCATAACAGCACTAACTTCTTTTAGGGTATGAGTCTGTGAACTGGATGTTTCACACAGCATGTTTTGTTTGCCATTACAACTGAATCAGCTTATTGCTGATGAGAGACACTATGTTGCCACTCCTGGACTACTAGAAGTTTATCATACATGTAACATATACAAAAAAACCCCCCACAAAACAGCCTTCTGCCGCTGCTTGCTGATTTACTTCTTGATTCCAGAATATGATGACATTTATCCAGTCCTCAGCTTGTGGCACCCAAGATTCACCAGCATTTTTTGTGGGAGTGAGCCTTTGTTTACAAGAACCATATCCCACACAGTCACCAAAACTTCTCGACAGACCCTTGCATAACAAAGCATTGGGGTTGTTATTGTCTAGAGCTAATTTTACTGCATTTGTTACTAGAGCCTGACTACTTTCCAAAATCGCTGAATACCTGGGCAACATACCCGCCTGGAAGCTGTCGAGATGCCTGCCTGCCTGCCTGAGAAGTGCTCACCTTCCCATGCATCCCAGAGAACTCAAGGCAACATCTTCAATGTGTGAATTCCTTCAGATCCCCATTGCAGACAGCCTGGCTCACCATTTCAGTGAGTTTCAGTATCCATAAATAACCACCAGACACAAAGAGAAACAGATGCTCAACGTTTACTAAAATAATGAAACTGCCTAAAAACAGAAGCACCAAAAATTGGACACTGCTTATTGAAGGGTAACTGACTGAAGAAGGAGAACTGAGGGTTCAGGCTCTTGACTCTTGAAATTTCTGCTTAGTATGATAAACCAAGAATGTAATTTTGAATGTTAATAAACACAAACCACTCACAGAAGTAGACAGGAAAAGAACTCATAATATCTTTAAAATCTCTCATATCCCAAAACATAGATAATTCTTCTAAGTATTAATCATATAAGCAATCCATGAAAATACTCTGAAACAACATCAACAATCATTAACCACCACTCATCAGCAAATCACCACCATCAATCATCAAGTATCATCATCAGGTAAGGTCAGTATATGGACGTGGACTTAATACACTAAGAGATAATAATTCTGGGTCACTTAATTTATTATGTTCATCTCATCTCTACCAGTCTTCTTCACTACTGTATTCAACTTGCATTTGTCTCAAGCACATTGATTAAAAAAGGTTAAAACTCTTTAAAAAGCCAATAACCAAAATCACTAATTTTGTACAGAAATCTCACCCTCAATTTTTTTTCTTCCTACTTCATCATTTTAATAGCAAAAAAAAAGTACAGAACTAATATAATGGCTAAAGAATGTGTAAATACACTTGTTTATCTAATTAGACTTATAAAAAGCTTTGGAGAAGCCAATTTAGGGTAAAGAAGAGTCAGTGGAAATGCAGAATAAAGGCACGAAACATAGCTAAACAAAATCTTGTTCTGAGGACAGTAAGCCACCTTGCTACTATTTCCTATTACCACATAGGTGTAATTAAATGAGTTGCCACGTGTCAGCTACCTTCGTGACTAGTGCGGAGGAAAGTCAACTTTCCTATTACCACACACATGTAATTAAATCAGTGATACCTACAAGGTCAAAATGTTGGCCAAAAGCCGAAAAAGTAAATCAAAGAAGGAATTTCAAAGGAATCCTAAGGAATTTAAGGATTTCATTAAGAATTTAGCATCAGTGTCACTGTATGGCAAAGAAAAGGAGAAGCTTGCAAAGGTGCAAAGCAGTCGAACAACAAACCCTCATTGCTTCTCTCCACTTTGAAAGCCACAGGCTTATTGGTTCTGTCCCAAAAGGAAGAAGCTCAACTGACATGTAGAAAGCAGGTGAGAAAAAACCTATGGCTAGAAATTCCCTTCTTTTTGATTATCAATAAATGTAAACCATATAAACACAGACAGACGAAGTACAGGCTGGTGAAACCTCTGTATCCACCGCCATTGCTTTAAGGTTGAGGCTCCTACGTGATCAGCAGAGAGCAGATATCACTTCCCATGGGGCCATTAAGTCCATGGGGGAGGAAAGCACAAATAAATAAATAAATGCATGAAGGAAACACAAACTTTGTGTTGCGATTCTCCTACCATGTGCCAAGTGCTCGGGCAGAATCATTATCCAATTTACGTAGATAACTTTTTAACCCCGCTGGGTGCATGGTGAGCCTTCAGCCTCTTTGGAGGATGGGATAAAATCAAAGCAAGCAGTTTACATTATGAAAAACAACCCAGAAATCCAACTAAATAATTAATTTATAAAAACTACTGCCTTCTATAGAAGAGTTAGGAAGACTATGGAGACAGCATTCAGTTTGTTAAACATGGAAAATATTCATCTTCTTGTTTCTTGGGGCATAAACCTGAATTTAAGTGAAAGAACCAAAATTACACCCGTGAGTAGGTTAACCCTTAACGACTGAGTATTTGGAGCAGATTCAGCCTGATTCATCTTGTACTGGACTTTGGTAGAAATATACTGTTATTGTACCCATCCCTAACAGACTTTTGAGACCTTCTCAGAAGGTCTGAGTAATCTCTGAACGGAGCACTGCACGATAGGTTAGCTTAAAAGAAAGTCAATCGTAACACCCTTTGCGGGGTGGGAAGGGATGTTTAAGAAATTATAGTCAGTGGGAGAAAAGAGGGAAAAGAATAGCGGAAGTGAAAATAAAGCTACTTCTTTTGCTACCTCACCTTTGCCCAAAGTCACCTGTGAAGTCACCACGTGTTGGCCGACCAACAGCAGCTGATTGCACGTTCTTACTCCTTTGCAAACACAGTGAAATTCATTGGCTTAAGCTCTTTTCACTGCGTAACACATTTTACCTTCTGTTTTTAATAGCTCGGCACTAGTCACAAAGGTAGCTGACATGTGGCAGCTCAATAAGGTGCCATATCTAATTTTTGTGCCTGAGACACAAGTTTCCTTGAAAGACCACAGAACTGGGATCTCCGAGTATTTCTGCAGGTGGGATATTGAACCCCTGTGCACAGCAAAGGAAGAAAACTATATATATATATATAAAAATAACTAAACAGAAATCAGAACTCCATCCTGCCTGTACAACTTGATGGGAGACATTATGCAGCTCACTGAAGGAAATAAAATGGTGTAATAAAAAAACGCCCGGCGAGGAAGGACAAAGGTTCTGGTGATACGCGGCAGCAGATGGAGACTTCTATCTAACACAGACCTTTTATTGAAGACCACTTCTCCATTAATTAAAGCAGCGGGCAAGTGAAAACAAATACGTCTCAGCGTAATTGTCTCTAAATAGACTTCCAAAGTTTGCCATGTGAGGTCTCACCGAATCTTTAAATGTGTCTCTATTCAGAAAAATCACTCACAATTCCAACTTTTTTTTTCCCCTCATTAAAAGTCAGAATAAAACCATTATTTGAAATTGAACTGACTGCCTTTGGATTCTCCCCCTCCTCCACTCCCCCAAGCTTTATGATTTAGTATCTGGCTAAGGAAAACTATATTTAATTAGGCTCATTAACCTTGCAGTGTGAACACGTCTTTTTTTTTTTTTTTAAATAAGTCATCTGCTAGTCATCTGCACAGTCATGTGGCTTCGGGGATAAAAGTAATTAAAGCAGTTACACTATAGCTAATTAGCCAATATTCTGTAATCACTCTTCAAGTTTACTTTTTCCTCTGAAGACATTTGAAAAAATCACATTCAAAATCTTAACAGGAAATTCATCTCCTCTCTTTGAAGAACATGAATCCAAAAATACCAAGCATTTCCTCAGAAAACAATAAATACAACCACTTCATTAGTGTAATTACATAAATAACTAAGATACCTAACACATTCCTCATAAAACAGACTAAGCTTTTCAGAAGCTTTAAAAAAAAACGTGTAGATGGCATCCCTTCAGATGGTGAAACAGAAAGCTCAAGAATGCCTGAGGCTGTAGTTTCACAGCATTTTAAGGCAGCACTGTCCCCAAAAGAAGCTGCCTCCCCCAAATGGTTATTTCCTCCTCCGTGCCAGAAACAGCATGTGTGCTCCTGCTCTTCCCATGAAGACATGATAAAATGGGTAAGGGAAGTGATGAAAGCTGTTATTTCTGGAGAAGCGAGTGAAACTGTCCCCTGAACCTTTCGTGGAGAAATGAGGTCTTCAGCAGTACACAGGCTGACCCCAGCTGGCCGTGCATAGCCGAGCAAAGCCACTGCAGAAAGAGAAGAGCCTTCAGGAGCAGGTCTTGTTACAGCTGTCATACCAGGTAAACCCTTCACAGGTTTGGGGGTTATTCAGTTTCTTTAACATAGAAGCTATAGTTATTTTCCCACAGTGACTCTTGCTATGGACCTATTTTATTTTCAGAGGGGTCCTCCTTATATGAGAGAAGTTCAGTTTCCAAGCCATCAGCATGCAGATACTCAAAGCAAGACACCAAGGCATGAGCCCTGACCTAGAAATCAGCTCTACTGTCTTGTGACACTGAAATCGCGCAACGTTGACCCTGGATCTCATGCAATGGATCACGGTATGCTCCAGAGCTCTTGGCAAACCACTGACAAGCCTCGCCTCAGACAGCTACAGAACAACAGGAGCTTGGTTTCCTGCAGGTCCAAGTCCTCTGCTGTTCCCTCTTCCCTGGCTCCAGAGACCTCTCCTCACCCCATTAACCCAGCTGTCCTGTTATGGTCCTTACAACCATGGGGTAAAACAGGACGCTGTTACTTGCATAAAGCCCCAAAGAAAAGACGTAATGAAAAGTCATTTAATTGCTGAGCTGTGCCTGCCTTTCCCTCAACAGAGGGACTAATTTGGTCACTCTGCCAAGTGACTGACTTATTTCTGAGACATCTATCTGTCCTTCAAATTTGATTAAAGTTATCCAGCAGACTCAAAAGGTG